TGAAAGCCATCGTCGAACGCTGGAAATGCCACAATGTGAGGTTGCGAGACACGTTGTAGGTGACAACCCTGCAATGACGCCCACATGGTCGTACCGACCCCCTCATCAACGACCATCGACGCGTTCGTTGCAACACCTCCCAGTCCCACCGCACAACCCTACGACGAACATAAATACGGCATCATCCCATAACTGCAACTCAGATATTTAACCCTAGCAATGTATGCCGAAGGTGTGACCAAGAAGGGCACTACGTCAGAAGGTACCGTAATGGACGAAAGTCAATCTACTGGGAGAGCGCTGCCGGCGATACCAAGGAAACTACAAGGGGCTTCACCAAGCACAAGGCGCGGTGAACCCACAGGATTAAGGCCGGCTCTGGCTCCATTCGAGCTTGGTGGAGAACCAGTGGAGGCCCTCATCGACACCGGCGCTTCGTAAAATTTTGTGTCATTCGAGCAGGCGGATGGCATAATCAACTCTGGGAGCGGGGAGAAGGTGGCAGTGGTCGTTGAAGTATTAATGGCCTATGATACGACCAGCAAGATCGTCGATGCCCTGAGAGCTGAAGTACCCCTCGAGCATTCATACTACCATGCAGTGCTGAACGACATGCCCGGCGCCATTGATGACGTCATACTTGGTCTAGACGCGCGGGGTAAATCAATGAGGGCGGATCAATATCTTCCCTCAGGTGGCGTTCAAGGCGCGGTAAGTTTCATAACCAGAAAGGACTTCAGGCTATTGTCGTCGCGAGCACATTCGAACATATTTTTCTAGATTGTGTGCAACTGGGTAAATTTCCACCAACCCACAGTACGTGTTTGGCGTGGCAATCGTTAAGTGACATAGATGGAATATCGTTAAAGCGTTTCAAGAACTTTTTTCTTTATTTTGGATTTCGTCCAAAATTGTTCATTGGAAACTCATCTTTCAGAGTTCAATAGAACCAACAAAAACACTTTACTGAGTGACAAACAAAAACCACAGATCTGACTATCCTTTACAGATTTGTATGACTTAAATTTCAATTCCTTGATGCTTCAGCATTTTGAGTAAGACAGCTGCGGCTACCTCCCTCACTTGTCCACTCACATGTCACTGTAAAGCTTGCTTAGTCCCCTAAACCCGCATTGTTGTCTTGCAATTGCATAAGACCAACTGTATACAGCCCATTTACAACGCAGTGAACTGCAGACTGTCGAATGAAATACAAAACCAAAAACACTAAAAAATCAAGAGATAAAAGGGCAAACTAAGCCACGCGCTTGAGACAACACCGACTAACAAAGCCACGCCGTGCAACGCATACAACCCTGCTAACGTACATATGTATATATACAGCCGTATCAAACATCAGCAGGATATACACGACTAGATATCAAATGCGGCAAATCAATGCGAGCAGAGTAACAAGAAAAAATGCAAAAATTCAAAAACAAACCAACATATCGAATAAACACAGCGTTTGCTGCTGAGACTGACTGACGGCTGTTAATCTGCAAAATGCGGGCCAAATACGCAAAAAAGGCAAAGAGGTAAGCAAAAAAGCGCATAGCGAACATGTCAATCGTCTCACGCTCTTAGTAGCTGGATTGGTCAGTATGCAATGTTCAGCTAGTTGACCGACTACACATCAGCCGCGCTGCGTTTCCAAAAGCTATCGTTGACAAATACTTTAAGTGCTGTGGATTTGATTGTGTCTCCTTTACGCTCGACACATCCGTCCTAAGTTTGTACCTACGTTTTCATTGTCATTTGTTCCATTCTCCATATGTCCATATTTTTTCACATTTATCTGCTCTAAATATCACACACCCCGCCAGTGCATTTGTGGCGACCAGCAAAGACATCGATTTTGCAATTTCACTAACGCCCAGATCGACAGCAGCTTGAGGCATAGCGTTTAAGTGGACTTGGATTAGATTTTGGAGATTTTTCTGCGTTCTTTCCTTTGGCTTCAAATAACATTTTCTTTTTTCATTTCAATTTAGATTGCATCCGCTAAATCCATGTGAGTTATGTGTGGCATCTCACAATACATTCTACATATTAGATAGGCTCTTTAATACGATTTTCAGAAAATGACAAGGTTAGGTCGAAACTTCTTAAAATTAACTCAACACACTTCTTATAACACTTTCCACATATAAAAGACGAGGTTTCTTCCAGTCGCACTGCGTGAAGACATACGTAAGTAGGTGGGATGTAGTAGCTTAAAGAAAATTGCATTGGTCTTTTACATGGACATGGGCACATGGAAGAGTCGAGAAGGTGTCCTTTAACGGTTAGTTTCTCTGATGTAGCGTTTTCCAGGCAGACGTATTTAGGTGCAGTTAAGAAAGTAAAGTCCTGATTGCTTCCGCATGTATCGTCGACAAGCCATATAAATAATTTTATATCCGGCAATTGGAGATTTGGGCTCACTTGTATAGTATTGTAATGTAAATTCTATGGGTGCA